ACTAAAAATCAGCCTTGGCAAATCAAATACTTCAGCCAGTATTTGTTAACATGAATAAGTCCTACACAGCTGAACTCCAGGCAGACATAAAAAGCACATGAAATTAAAGTATGTCTTAAATAATCAGGTAGCATGTTAGATGTACTTTTATCTACATTTTTGCACCCCCCTTCCTGTAAGTTAAACCAGCCTTTCTATACCAGGGTATCTTCTGGCTTCCTAGGGGTACCTAGACATTTTAACACAGGGTCATGCCTTTTCATAGTGTAGGTGAGCCAGCCACCAGCACCATGAACACAAATTATGCCAATACAGTAAGGGTGGGATTCATTCAGAAAAGGATGGAAGTTTGCCTACATCCAGGCCTGCTCCACCTGTCATCCTGTGGAGCAGGCCTAGCTCCTTGTAGCTCCTTAGGACCCTAATGTGAAGGGGGGATGAGGACTCTAATGTGAAGGGGGTTCAGGGACTCTTATGTGAAGGGGTACTGAGAACTGTGATGTGAAGGGGGCTGTAGACTAATGTGAAGGGGGACTGAGGACTCTGATGTGAAGGTGGACTGAGACACTGATGTGAAGGATGTGAAGAGGGGGCTGAGGACTCTGATGTGAAGAGGGGGCTGAGGACTCTGATGTGAAGCGGGACTGGGGACAATGATCTGAAGGGGGGGACTAAGGACTCTGAAGTGAAGAGGGGGCTGAGGACACTGATGTGAAGAGGGGACTGAGGAACTGAGGACTTTGATCGGAAGGTGGGGGCTGAGGACTCTGATGTGAAGGGGGGATGGAAGACTCTGATGTGAAGGGGGACCTAAAACGTTGATGTGTAGGGGTGGATGAGTTACATAGTTACAAAGTATTTGGGGTTGAATAAAGACATACGTCCATCAAGTCCAACCCATATAGGTCCACGCATCATCTCATTCTTAGGGATGCTGGTATCCCTGGATATTACGGTCCCTCAAGAAATTGTCCAAACGTTTCTTGAACAAATCTTCACTCTTGGCTGAAATCCAGACCTTAACTGCTCTTACTGTAAAGAACCCAGTCCTCTGAGGACTTTGATGTGAAGGGGGGAGGAGGGGACTGAGGACTCTGATGTGAATAGCTGTAGTTGTAAAATGTGTATATCTTCTATGTGCACAACTATATTTTCTAATATTTGATTGACAGAACTACAACTGGTCAGGGACTAAAATTAGCCTTGGAAAATCAAATACTTCAGCCAGTATTTGTTAACATGCATAAGTCCTATCCAGCTGAACTCCAGGCCGACTTAAATATCAGGTCAGCATTCTATCGCCATGGCAACCCTACGCCAATCACAGCGCGCTGCCGCTACTGCCCAGTCCCCGCTCACTCCGCTGGGCTCGTCGGCTGTGTGCGAGAGGGGGGTAATGTATATAGAGACAGAAGACCAGCCAGAAAAGGTAAGGGGGGGGTAAATAATTCATTAAAATTATTATTTGTAGCCTAATGCTGTATAAAGTACTGTTGCAGCAATGCAGAATGGCACCCTCTATAGAGGACTACAAATCTCAGCAGTACTTTATACAGAAATGCTATTGTTATATAAAGTATTGCTGGGATGTGTAGTCCTCTATAGCCTGCTCCATTCTGCATTGCTGTAAATTTTAGGACTGAACCGATATATCGGCCGCCAAAAGATATCGGCCGGAAATGGCACTTTTGGCTAAATGCCGAAAGTGCCGTTTATCTGCTGATACAGTGGCGCATCCGTGCTTTCTTTCCTCCCTGCTGGGCGCTGCTCTGTGTCCCAGCGGGGAGAGGAGAAAGTGACAGCCGGCCGAGCGCTGCGGGAGGAGAGCGATGTGTTTGTGGGTTTTTTTTTGGGGGATGTGAAAGGGGGACTGAGGACTCTGATATGAAGGGGGGACTGGCGACTTATGTGAAGAGAGGGCTGAGGACTCTGATGTGAAGGGGTACTAATGACTCTGAGGTGAAGGAGGAACTTAAGACTCTGATGTGAAAGGGGGACTGAAGAGTCTGATGTGAAGGGGGAACTTAAGACTTTGATGTGAAAGGGGGACTGGTGACTGATCTAAATTGAGGGCCGAGGACTCTGATGCCAAGGGCGAGCTGAGGACTCATGTGAAGGGGGACGGAGAACTCTGATGTGAAGGTGAGACTGAGGACTTTGATGTGGAGGGAGGGGGGGCTGGGACTCTGATGTGAAGAGAGGACTTAAGACTCTGATATGAAAGGGGGACTAACAACTCTGATGTGAAGGGGGTACTAAGGACTCTGATGTGATGAAGGGCTGAGGACTCGATGTGAAGGAGGATAGAGGACTCTGATGAGAAGATGGGACTGAGGACTGATGTGAAGGGAGACTAAGAACTTTGATGTGAAGGGGGGCTTAGAGCTCTGATGTGAAGGAGGATTGGGTACTTTGATGTTAATGGGCTGACTGAAGTCTCTGATGTGAAGGGGGGGCTAATGACTCTGATGTGAAGAGGGAACTGAGAACTTTGATCTGAAGGGGGGACTGAGGATTCTGATCTGAATGTGGTGCTGAGGACTCTGATGTGATGGGGAAGCAGAGGACTCGATGTGAAGGGGGACGGAGAACTCTGATGTGAAGGTGGGACTGAGGACTCTGATGTGGAGGGGGGAAAAATGACTTTCATAATGACTTTCATGTGAAGGGGGGACGACTAATGAAAGTCATTAGTCATCCCCCTTCACATGAAAGTCATTAGTCATCCCCCTTCACATGAAAGTCATGTGAAGGGGGGACGACTAATGACTTTCATGTGAAGGGGGGACGACTAATGACTTTCATGTGAAGGGGGGCTTAGGACTCTAGTATGGTTTAAGCACAATAGGTAACAGACAATTCTGAGAAGGGGAACTGATATAAAGGTGAGAGAATCACATTTCTTAATGACAGAGGTCGGTAAAAGTCCCAGAAGTCACAGCACTTACAGCCTAGGCACAGGACTGTGACATCTGTTCACATAGATCAACCTCTGCTCTACTACATTTACATTAAAGTAGAACTGAAGTCAACACTTTTTTTTTTTTAGTTTTGGATAGAGTAAGGAAGGGTCATAACCCCTGCCAGCTTTTTTTTGCCACCATTGTGGAGATTTCCTGTACGTTCTGTCCAATAACCACAATAGGAAGGGAGAGGAAATAACTCCAAAGAGAGAGAAATCCTTGGTGGTCAGCAAGGTCACCAGAACTAGTGTCCCCATAGGAAGATTTCCCATATATTCCTGTTCTGATGGCAACCCAACATTTTGCATTTTCTTTTACTTTCACTTTGAGTGATAATGGTCATCAGGACAAATAGAGAGGGTGAATCTCCCTAATGGGATAGAGATAAAAAAGTGGCAGGTGTTCTAATCCCTTGGTCTGTGTACAGGGTCAGCTTGGTACTGGGTTGAAGCTATATCCTTTATAAGTGGTTTTTATGTATTTTTTTTAACCACAACAAAATGGTTATGTATTAGAATTTTTTCTGATGTTAGTAACATTTTTGTTCTACCTTAGCCCACTCCTGTGGAAGCTGTTTACTGTGAAATGTGTTGAGTGTATATAAAACAATATACTTCTCACCTAATCCTGTGGACTGAAATCACATGTACCTAAAATGGAGTGAAGCCCTCAACAAGCCTGAAGAGAAGAATAAGGGTTATATTCTTCTATGGATTGTGAGAAGTTTCGACTATTGGATATACAGTTGATTTGCATGCATGTCTTTTTGATCTTGGAGTGTCATAGTTTTCTGACCTAAAACCTGTTTTATGACTTATGGGGTACCTTAAAAGTCCGATTTAAATGTTTCTTCTTTTGTTCTATCCAAAACTAAAAGAAAAATGTTTTGGCTTAAGTTGCACTTTAAGTTGCTTCCTTGATGGATCCTCATCTTTGTCTTCACAGATATGCGTGATCCTGACCTCAGCAGCAGGACACAGCAAAATACAGCTGAGAAGAGAAAGTTTATTCACTTAAGGGCAGGCAGGTCTTGATAGATTAAAGGACTTCTAAAGTCCTAGCATATACTTGTACTATCCTGTTCTAACATCAGTATTGTAATAGGAATACTGTACATACTAGAGTTGTCTTTCATAAAGCAATCAAAGCTTGCTTGAAAAAAAAATCCCTTTTATGCAGTGAGTGCTGCCTTCTGTCTGCCCATCACTTTCATCAACTTCCTGGATTCCCAGTGTGCTTTGCATCTCTTTCTCTGCTGCTTGATGTGATGCAATCTCGATTTCTCAAGACTACATAGTTCATAATGCATGGCTTCCAGCAAGCAATGATAAGGTTTCATTGTTCAGATCTTGAGTTGTAGTTAAGAAGGCAGGCTTTGTAAGAACTATGACACAAGGAAGTGCTTATTCACAGGTCCGAGTGAAAATGTATCAGTGCATTGAGGAAGTACATCCTATGGGCATCTTCAAGTGAGTTTACAAATTTCTACATTGAAATGGTTATTAGGAGTGTGATAGAACTTATGGAAATTCAATACAGAAATACACATTTATTTTTCGTTTTTGACCATAGATATGTGTTAAATATGTCATCCTTTCATTTCTAACACTATAAATAAAAGTAAAGACCATACAAACACAATTAATTCTTAAATTATTACTTTATTTCAATATCTTTAAAGACACCATAAAATGAATAATGTTCACTACTTTCGCTGGGTAAACCTACTTAGAGAAACAAATGGGACTACAATGGCAATGAGAGCTGTGGACTGCAATGCCTATCTGTTTCACAATCCGTACACATTATTGTGTGTTGAAGCTCCCATGATTCATTGCATTCCATTAGTATAAAATTCCTTCACATATTAAAAAGTTGTGACTTTATCTAAGGCACTTATTAACAAGCTCTGTTTTAATGGCAACACTGGTACCTTGGTATTTTCTAAAATAGGCAAGCTTTTTTTTTTTTTTTTTAAAAAGGAAAAGCTGTAAAAATAAAGAAAACCCCATTAAATAAAGGTCAATATAATGTACATTTTTACTTCATTACAGAAGATAAAACAGTGCAATTCAGAAGAGCTGTTTGGTGCACCACTGTTTACCAGTGCCCTCGCTATAGAGATGTTGTCATTTGTAGTAGTCGGTTAAATGTTTCAATTTAACTACGATCGTTAGTCTAAGTATATTTCTGCAAGGCAACACTATACCAGTGTATCAGTTTCAGAAGGTTACTGAATCACTTGCTCTTTACTTGCCTTGCTTGCATAATGTTTGTAGACTATAGATCTGAGCCTATGTTGTGACAAGCTCCAAGTGTAAGCAGTAAGCTCTGTGTGTGTATCCAGTACTCAGGATAGCTCGGTACGTCCTAAAATACCCAGTCTCTCTCACTGTTTCTCTCCTCCCATATTATGGCAAGGACAGAGCTTCTAGTTTAAGTTTCCTATGCCTTGTATCTTATAAGAAATCTATGAACTCACCATTTCCCCTTTTCACTTGCAGAAAATTACCCTTTTACCCCACAACCCTCTCCAACTGCTGTCTCTACCTAGTATGAAAGAAAAACATGCATGTGAGAGAGAATGGATGTTACAAAAAAAATAATAATAATAAAATGCACCTATATATCAACTTAAAGCAGCAAAAAGCAAACTGAAAATGTCCTCAAAAAGATAAATATTGCTGATTAATCATCTGTTTGTTGATCTTCCGTGTTGTCTGGCCAGGCAACATATTGAACCTTATAGTGGTCGCTGTTATAACATCTTGGTTCACATGTAGAATTGACTTTGTATTATGATTAATATTGTATTAGAATGCAGACAGCAGGGTCCATCACTATGTTTTCCATCTTCCTTTTTATCATTTTTATTTATCTGGTACTGGTGACACAAATTATTATCTGCAGTCACAGCTCATTGGCTCTAAGTGACAGATTGTTTATATGTATATCAGTGTTATGAATAGTAGTAGTGTTATTGGTAATGGCACTTCAGGTTACGAGGCGAGCTATATCACTTTGGGTAGACGTCTTGGTAGCTTCAGCGCCTGGACATAGGAGAAGATGACCGGCTGTCTCTTCCTCCCTGCAGAAAAACAAACCAGAGCAAATAGTCATAAATACAGCGTTCTGCTTTGCAAGCCGTGTGATTCATGGCTGAGCTGTATGGTAAACACATTCTATTATTAGGCTTAAAATGTAACAGGGTGAAAAGGTAAATGAAAATACAGAAGGTCTTGAAAAAATATACATTTTGATATTTCCCATGCTTTTTGTATCATATTTACAATATTCAACTTCAAATACAGATTTGGAGCCACTAGAGGGCACATTGCTCTAAGGGGGTTATTCACTAAAGGGTGAAGAGTTTGGAGAAGGCAGGAGAAGGGAACAATCTAGGACAACATGACTGAACTGGAAAGTGAGCTGAACTGGAGATTATTTCCAAATCAGCAATGTTGTCCTAGATTGTTCGCTTCTCCAAACTCTTCACCCTTTAGTTTGAGAAGTGTCCTTGGTGAATCTCTCCTGATGACATTTCGCATACTATAGGCTGAATTCACAAAGCTTCAACACAAAATAGTATCTTTATTTCAGCCATATGACTATAATCTTATTGGTGTCCACGGAATCTTATCCTGATGTACTGCCATTGCGAATTGACCCTTATGCCTGAGATGTAACAGTATGGCTCAGTAGCACTGTAAAGTTGTTAATTAAATTCTATTCTAGCTTGCCAACGCATTTTGCAGATATGGGTGCAGTCAAGGCACATATTTATTTTGAATTATTAATCTTTTTTTCTACTTTTTATCTTCTCCTTTTCTTGTCAGTATTCTAAATGTTCTTTTGTTATTGCCAGAACTGGCTGTTATTTCTGCCTGCAGAGGAAAGCTATTGTCTTTCAGCTGACAGTTACCTGGTGAATATATGAATGAAACTCTTAGCAGGCAATTACTTATAAAATTCACAGCTTTGTATTGAGAACAGTTATGATATCCAAATGCTGTTAACATGAGATTCATCCACTTAGAAATTATTAAATATAGGCTGCACTACTACAATACATGTACTGTAACTATAGAAGCAACCAAAGAATATTCGTGAAGAAAAAGGGGCAATATATGAAGCACTCATATAACCAATTAAGTCTTCACAGATGCAAATCAAGACAACAATAAGCTTCATAATCCAAAATCCTTAAGTTAAATGCAACTATGCACACGCCACCCCACTATCCACAAGCACTCAGAAAATAAAGTCTTTGACATGGTCTGTGAATAATACTAGGATAATATTGGGATAATTTGTCTCTCTTATAGCACTATTTGCATCCACATTGTTCTGATTCAGCAGGGGGAATGTGGACCTCTGCAGAGAGACCACTGATTCCCCTAGCAGAGCAAAGGTTCAACCCACAGCTACTGGCAAGGGACAAGCTTTTGAACAAAAATGGACTGTAAGCCATTGAACACCTTTTCTTATGATGCACCTGGAATGTGTTTAGATGATTTAAACTGAAAGCTCAACTGGGCTTTAAACATGAAAAACGGTTTACTATTTGCAGCAACTTGGCTTTTATTCCCCTGTTTTTTTCACCAGTTTTTTCAGTAGCCCACTAGGTATATCAGCTGTCACCTTGGCTGTTAGGGCAACATGAGTGACTATTTAAAGACTACCCAACAATCATTCTATACTGCCTCTGCAGTACTTCCCCACCACTCCCAATTCTGTGGCCACCACTGCATAATACCCTGTGTTTTGGGGTATAGGGGAGCATGTGACTTCACATGATGCAGTACTCAGGCCTGAAAGCGGATTATTAGGCCTGAGCATTTTGGACCCAAACACAGTGAGGACAATTTGCTGGAAAGTCAGATTATTGTAAACATTTTTTTTTTTTAACTATATATCTTATTTGGGCATTTTGAAGACTGAACCCTAAAACAGAACAATGGGCTTCCAATAAAGAGTACATTTTACAAAACAAATGCAGACAGCTATTCTAATACCTTTCACATTAAATCATTTATTTTGTTTTATTATTGAAATCTTGGAGCTGTAAGACTTTGGTACATGGACTAAGGCTTTAGTAAGTGATCCTTGTCACCTGTTGAATGCTCCCCAGCACAAACAAAAACTGCATTCAGATAAATGGCTCATTACAAATAAACACCCAGCAAAGAGATCTGTTAAGCCAGAGTTAACTATAATGGACTACTTCTTGTTTACATGACCCTCCCATATCCCATGGACAGGAGTGCTATTGCTTCAATGGACACTTTTTTATTCTTAGGAGTCCCTAAAAAGACATAAGATGCCAGTGGTTGATTCAGGCCATCCATTTGTATCCATAACTGAAATATCCATAGATTCACCCATGGATGCATTCCTGTACTCACATACAGTACTTCCAGGTGAATAAAGTCAGAGGATAAATGTGTAGAAAAGAATACTATTACTTAAAATGTGTTAACCATTTTCTAGAAATGCGTTTACCGATTCTGATCCTCAACAACTCATTTATTTTATGCAGTATGAAGACTGTATCCTGTTTGTTCCTTTTATACTGCAGAATTCTGTATGTAAAATATATTTTCTAAATACAGCCAAGCTGTCATTATTCTAAGAGAACATGATTCTACAAATTGGAATATATAAATGGGACACATTTTGAAATTGTAGTCCTACCCTAATTTCTGAGTACACATTTTATTTTGCATATAATTAATAGATAATTAATTGAATCTGCTTTCCAAATATGCTTCTCTCCAACATAAAGTCCTAAAACAGATAGGCTTTTGCTTCTCTGCTAAACAATATACTGGATTTCAGAGTGACGGACTTCATTGGCCAAGTGTACTTTGAACACACAGCCAAAGGCAGAACTTGCCAGAGTTGGCCAATAACTACGCACCATCTGTGATAATTTGCATTTAATAGAATTTTTTTTCTATAAAGTGTGAAATACACACAGTGTTTAGCAAGTTAATAGTAAAATAGGTCTGATAATGCTGATCGCTTTGGAAATGCAACTTATTTTACTGAAAAAGCAAAGATGTTTGGCCACTGAGACCTTTCTTTGTTTTGGTCATTTACAATATAACAATTATTGCCAGTACAAATTGGAACAGTATCACAAGACATAAGGAGGCTTTAAATGTTATAAATATAATGTTAATATGAAACTAGCAATGTGTGGGTGTTTGTTGAATGATGGTAATGTATAATATTGAACATTGCCAGAAACTTAATGGCAACTGTTGGCAGCATGGCAGAACAGGCACCTACCCAAAGGATCAGTGTCTCCTGATAAGGTTGTACTCCTATACTCACTGGTCCATGTTCCTTTACCCTCTACCTTCTGGAAAAGTTCTGATATCAGAGCTTACCCCGGTAGATGATGTCACTGCTCCCCATGTGACAGTGTTTGAGGATGGCTATTGGCTGCTCATGCAGAGTACTGTCACATGGAGGGGGGTCACATGCTCATCCATACCCAGAAGCCCCACATGTTCCAGTTATGTGATGAGGGCTATGAAGGAGCAGGGAGGCAGAAAAGGAGCATGGATTAGTAAGTATACCATATGCTGGATGTAGGGGTGCTATCAGAAGCCACTATTACTTTGCCCTGAATGTGTCTCTTTAAAATCCAGGGTACTGCACTAAATTAAAGAAAAGACAAAGTCATATCTCTCATGAGCACTATGCAGACACCACTGCTTGTTCTTTTCCCCTCCCTATTAGCCAGGAAGGAAGCCTAAAACAAATTGCAGCCAATTGGAACATGTAAAGGTAAGGAAGGTGTGGACTACATAGCAACCATGTTACATATTTGGTTGCTGTTTCCATAAAGCAGATCCCCAGGACTTGGGGTTGTTGGGGGGCTTTGCAGTAAAACAGTCTGTGTGCAGTTATTTGCATACCATTAGCAATTGTGTTTAGACTGAACAGCCACAGATCCACGTTTACATTGTGTGTATATGTATATACAAGTTAATTAAATGTCTCTAGATATATTTAAAAATTTTATTTGAAAAATCAATATGAATATGTTTATTGAGAGAAAAGGGGAATTCATGGCGCAGCTTAGAGACAAAAGAAAAGCACAGGGCAGAAGGGCCTGGTTGAGCTCATCTTGCCTGTGAGTCTCATAGTAGCCATGTGGGTTGCTAAGCCTATTTTTACACCTCTGTTCTATGTACTTGTCTCCCAGTTTATGTATAACTCCCTACCTCACATTTTTACTGTGTCAGTAACTGTCTGACGGTCTTTTTTATTGATGTGTAATTGTTTTTATCTTGCCATCTCTGTAGCCATGGCTTTTGCAGACTGCAGCTTTACAGTTGCTTGCAACAGTGACAAAAGTGGGTGCAGGCAGGGCTAATGCATGATACAGGGTTGTACCATAACTGGAGGGGAAATGTACTTTAAATGCACACTCCTTATGTGTTTAAGCAAGTAGCAGGCTGCATTTAAGGAGGAAGTGACACTTTTCTTCCCTTCCATTACAACCCCAAATTATCATGGAATGGCCTATTTCCTTCCTGTTATGGTTCTTGATCTGGCCATATGACAGGAACCTAATGTGCAAAATCCAGTGTACCCATCGCACTCCTGACCGAATAATACCCTTAGAGTCGGGTGGGTGCCAAAGTGACTGCAGATGCCTCTGCAATCCAAGATAAGTATATGTATAAAGTCACTCGCACTCCAATAGAATTTCAAGTCAAAAACGGTTTATTGACTTGAAAAAATGTTTTTGACTTGAAATTCTATTGGAGTGCGAGTGACTTTATACATATACTTATCTAGGAACCTAATGTGTCTACATCTCAAACATGCCTGCATTTGAAAAGCTCTAGGTTATACCCTATTATTGACACAGACAAATTAAGAAATCAGATTTCTGTAGAATTCAAGAACATTTTAGTCCAAATGTAACTGCTTACGGCAAAGTTAATATGTATGCCAACTCAAGGAACCATGTGGTTTATGCTCCTAAAACATAAAAACACTTCTGAACCTCTATAATATTTTTGATGGAAAAGCAAGCTCAGCTAGCTCCTTCAAAGATCCTGTAGTTAAAAGATGAAGAAATTTGCATGTTCTCCCTGTGCTTGCATAGGTTTCTCCTCCAGGTACTCCGGTTTCCTCCCACACGCCTGCTGGAAGGTTAATTGGCTCCTGTCTAAAGTGGCCCTGTATGCATTTGCAGGAGGGACCTTAGATTGTGAGCTCCTTGAGGGCAAGGACTGATGTGGATGTACAGTATGTAAAGTACTGTGTAAATTGTCATTCCTTTATAAATACCTGTTATAAATAAATATTAAATCCTGTATAAAATGTCCTTGTTGATGTTGCTTTTATGTGCACATTTATTTAACTTCCTTCCATCAGATCTCTTTATGCTATGAAAATGGAATTAATGGAAGGTAAACTAAGACTAGAGAAAAGCTACCTGAACTTGGACAACTCGCCATGCACCAGCAATTTTGTAGATTTAGCATACGTGTGCTATTTTGCCATCTGTGGTGTATCACGTGCTTTGAGTTGTAATCAGGCAGAATAAGGCCCTAGGCATGGTGGAAGATTTGGTCCCCAATCCCCTTAGTTGACATTGATAAGGATTGTCACAGGCAAGGGATGCCACCCCATTGGCATTATCTATACTGACATAGCCCCATCAGACACCAATTGCCTACAAGTACATCCTCCATTGTGAAGTGACAGACAAGTGCACCGCTTTGACCAACTATGCTATGTTCCAGTCTACTGCAGAAGCCTGAAGGTTGTAGCAGCCTCCTGGACATCCACCGACGTACTACCTAGGTTGCCTTGTGGATGATCTTGCTCTGCCCATGTTGCCTAGCAAGCCCTTACAGGCTTACAGGCTTGACCCCCCCCCCCACAGCAAAGCATGTCAGAGGACAACCTTCCCTTCCTCCCATATAAAAGGAGCTGCAACAGTTGCTATTCCTTTCTACACAGTCAGGAAGAGTGACAGTGTCAGAGATAGGACAGTAAAGTGGAAATTCACAAGGACAGATTTAGGCAGTTAGCACAGACTGTGTCATCGTTTACAGCTGACACTGCAATACACTAGAGACAGAACATTCTCTGTTATACTAGCTGACATAGAAATAAAACATTTATTTATTGTCCTGTCACTAACCCAACTGTGTTTTGTTTGCTTTTTTTAAGTAATAAAAGGAATATAAAACCACATTTTATATTTAAAAAAACTACACTATAAAGTGGTGCATGATAGCATGTTGCTAAATATGTAAAAGATAATAAAAAATAACATGATAATAAGAAAAAATTATGGTAATGGCTGTTGACAAATAAAGACAACACGCACTGGCTCCCTTTACACCACCAAACTGACAATAAATGGTTGCACCTATTATTTTATGTTTCTTAAAGTCCACTGTCACAGGTGTATATACTGTATATGATCAGCAATTACCACACATACAAAGTATTTAAAAAAGAAATTAAATAATTATCGATGCCATTAATGTTGTTTTTTTGCAGTAATTTACAAACAAAAAAGGTGCATGTAGCTCTTCTTGCGACATACGACACAATCGTGTTCGATTGCAGGGGCGGAACTGCGGTGGGAAACCGTGTGATCTGCCCGGCACAACTGGGGTGCCATTAGAATATAATGGCACCGCCAGCGCAATCGGTGGTGGTGGGCGACTTATCATGCAGGTGTGGCCTAAGAGAGTTACTGGCACAACATAGGAAAGGCTAATGAGCATCTTTTAACATCTATGGCTGTTCAGGCCTTAAAACGAAGTGCATTTGTACTTTCTAGCACGTTATTTCTGAAGTGTGAAATAACATGCAATCCTGGAGAATATCAGAAGGTATGAATACCAACCAGTAACTGTATCACATAACAATAAAAAATGTATGAAAGCTATCATCATCCTGGCAGGTACTTAGAGGTAAAGCAGAAAGACATTTATACAAAATGTACAATGTTATCCTGCTAGGAAGATAAGGGGATATAATAAAATCTAACTTTTTTTTTTTTTAATGCTGTGACACAAAGGTATATTCAAATAAGTTGAACTTGAAAAAGGCTCGATAATTTGCCTGGTATCTAACTGGGTAATTTAATTATTCACAAAGCAGACAAGATTAAGAGGCTTTGTAATTCACAGCTATAAGGATTTTAAGCTAAATCCTAAATGTATCAAATTAATTCACATACAATGTACCCTTGCTGTGCCAACTCCTTAAAGAAGACGTAAACGTTTGCGTGACATAGACGGGTCTTTATTGCCAGTCTATGTTATCGCTAATAATGTCAAGAATAATAGTCAAGAAGATGATGTTGATGTCTTCAGCCAGTTCACCAGATTATTTGTTTTTCAGTTTCAATGAAATAGGATATAAATGCTGTGTCTGCCAACACACAATATGTGGGTCTGATTAAAGCCATCTATTAGCCCATAACAAAAATAGAGAAGTACAAAATAAAATGTATATTGTTATGGTACACCCCATGTGAGTCTATTTGTTCAGCATGTTGTGTACAGACCTCTTACTTTTTAATAATTCAGAAAGCAAAATTAGGGCTTACATACACATAACTAAGGCCAAACCTTTTTTTTGGGCTTTAGTGTTCTTTTGGGCCAAAGGAGTACATTGACTAATGTATGAATGTGACCTAAGGTCTGCATCTAGCCGGATACTGCTTGCTATTTGCTGACAGCGCAGAGCCGTGCTGCAGCAGGGAAAGATTCTGAAAACATTGGCGGTATTCACCTAATTGCCTGATTGGCCCTGCCTCTCTAGAGCCAGAGCCAATTGTGCCCACCCCATCCACTATCTGTCCCTCCAATGAGTGCTGGAGGAACAGAGCGGGGAGGGCGGAATCCCTGCGGGGAGGAATGACTGATAGTCTTCACTCTCTGCAGGGAAAAGATTTTGTAGTTCTCGATCTATAGAGCCAGTATGTGACACCTGCAATGTCACACGTTGGTTCTAAGTATTAGGAAATACTTAGAACCAACTCCTTTAATGGCAATTTACTGTATCATTAATTTATTTCTTAATTATTTGTATTTACTATTTTCTGATTTAGTACAATATGTATTTGCTTAGATAAGGAATGCAAGGTAAGAATGTCACCATATCACCAAGGTGAATGTGGAAATATATATAGCTGGAAGAATGTTTTTTTGAAGAGTGCTTCATTAAATGCATCTCTTATCAACTTACACGTCAAATTATTTAAAGAGAATGCATGTGAATTTGGTTCTGGTGATAAAAACTAAGAAACCATATTATTGTATATAATACAAACGACATAAAAATAACTTAACAGGTGGAGCAATATAATGATATCTATAGTTACCAGTTTAAAGATCCTGGACAAGGTTCCTTGACCATCTCGGTGTGCATCCTTGTATCCCTTGTGGGGTGATTTGTGGTGTTCATAGTACCTTGGACTGGATCCTCCATAGCAAGTCTTATGCCCTTCTCCACTCTACATTCAATATAATAGACACATCAGAAATTAAATTTTTGTAATATGCCAAACCAGACTCTAGTAGCTTAACTGAAACCAAGTAAGTAAATAAAATGAATTATTGGCTCCAAAGATCAAACATTGCAACCTTGAACAGAAAATAAAAAGAGTGTTAAATTGGCTAAATTAGAAACCTGAAAATGAAACACTGTAAAAATCTAAAAGTATTTAAAATCTGCCCATCTCTTAACTGTCATCAAGTGGAAGCTGACTAAGTCCCATCAGATCAAAAGAGATGAGGGTGCCATGGGTTTCTTACTAATTCAGATAAAGTTTATTGGACACAGAGTTTTTAGAAAAAGCCATGGCCACACCATATAAAATAAAAATTATCTGCACCCTGTTCTGATACTTACTTAAGGTGGTCATACACTGTAATATTTTCTTTGTTCAACCTGCGGGCTGAACAAAGAAAATTTAACAGATTCCTCCTTAAATGCTTATGTCTTCATTGTATTCTGACGGCGGCTTCTGATCAGAAGACCCGAACAGAGCTAGCAGCTCTGTTCATTTTCCAACCGGCTTCTTTAATCAGCTGATCGAGGGGTGCCGGCAGAAAGGGTGCTCACAGCGGCACCCACTGTTCCAATTTCACATAGTGTATGGCCATCTTAACCTACATGATCCAGCTCTCTCACCGCTGTTTCTCTATCAACTAAGGCCCATATTTTTCCAACACATCGTTCATGTTTTTTTAAAGTGAGGCCTAAATTTTTATATACACAGTTAAGCATGTTCGTTAATGAAAGGTTCAATGTGCAGAAGTGCAGTTACCATACACAACCAAATCAGAATTTACCTCCGACTAATCTAGAGTGTAAGTTAACTGTGTACTCTGAAAATCATCATTGGTCTTTACATTACCCTAAAGTGTACATGTGCCCAGACTATGGACATTAAACTATTTAAACATTCTTAACAAGCAGTTTTATTGTAAGGCTGGAGTTATAATGTCATATTGTGTTCATTTTAAATGGAACCCCAATACAAATACACGGCGCAATGCAATGAACATGCATTCTAGCCCACCACAACAGATGTAAACCAACTTTAATAGAGTTACAGGTTTACTATAAGCCTTATTTTGTTAATGTACAAAGGACTTAGTGGTTCTCCCAATAAGGATCAAAAATATAAAAATATATATATATATATTTAACTGCTCAGCCATCAATCACTGTTAGATCTCTGTATTAGGGTCACCAACAGAGATTTATATGTCAAATGGTCTATCAAGTTAAATGGTAGTTAAACCCTCGGGGGTTTGGCATATATCTACTGCTAGCAAGCAGTAAATATATGCAAACATTTTTTTTTTAAAGTTACGAAAAAGGTAAAACTTACTTGTGTCTCCGCCGCGCGCTCCCGTCCGAAGATCTGAACATTCTCTGGCGGCCGCTAAGGATCATGGGGCGGGCGCATGCGCAGTGGAGATCTTCGGCCGGGAGACGAGGAGAGACACAGGCTAAGTCAATGCACGCAGCCCGGCAACGTGCACCCGCACAGACTCTGTGGGACGCAGCAGTCAGCGCTAGATCAGAGACCGGCAGCAGCGCTGGAGGGAAACCTGAAAACTACAGGAAAGAAGAAGTTGATCGGATCAAGAGGCATAATTTAAGGTAGGTCCTTACACCAGCATGGGGGGGGGGG